CCGGGCGCAGAGCTTACATGGATAAGGTATGTGCGTTTTTCAGGTTAACAAATTAGGCTGTGATATTGTAGGAGATTATACGTTATAACAACCCATTTCTCTTTGCAATCCATTACTAGATTTTTTAAAGTTGTCTGAAATACCTCGAGGGTTTTGCGAATTGGTGTTTTAGATTCATGTGTGAAGATACTGATTTGTGCTTAAAAACCTTCCTTTTACATAGACTAGCGTAAAAATGGTTGCTAGCTTGCGGACGACGTATAGTGCTGGACGCTGGTTCGGTCACTACTACCGAATTTCCTACAACCACACTTCCTCAAAATCACTGCTCCTACTTTGCCGAGAATGGAAAGCAAGTTGAGCGAAACTTTGCTTTCGCTAAAAGGCTAGCTTTTACTGTAAACTTGCACAGATGTGCTACTGCTTCGCAGCCTTTGGAAGTGCTATTTACTGCACCAAGTTAACTGATTCCTACTTCTGCTTTCTTCATGCGCACAGATTGGCAGCTCTACCAAGCATGCTCTCCGTAGCCACCCTTTTTGGTGTGAAGGGAAAAAGGAATAATTGCAATAACCATGATGCAAGCTCAAAGTGTAACTTGGAAAAAAACTGAACGTTGCTATATTAAGTTTTTACGCTGAGAACTAGGCAGGATACTCGTACTCTTTTACGTGGACGCAGAGTACCATTGTCGTGGCTGGTGGGTGTCGAATGCTAAGCACTGTAAAGCCACTGGGTCTCGTTCGCATGGCCTTGAAGGTGCCTAACATACAGTACGGTTAACCTACACAAGTACAGAGAGATTGTTAAATTATCAAGGATATTATAGGCTGTGCAAATCTGGAAGGACTAAGATGGTCGTCTTCACCTATATTGCAAGCTCACTTGCATCTGAGTCCTCGTTAGAGGACTTGATCGTGCGGGCGAGAAGGATAACGTATGACGTCATCAGACCGGTGAAGATGAGGAGATACCACCATTGGACGAGCTCTATGATGCAGAAGAAAAGTTCTTTTCAGAACATATGGAAGCTAACGCCCTCGTCAAGACGAAGTTGGTCCTAAACATCGGTTCTTCGGAGAACTATCGGCACCACTTGGACACTTAAGTTTGAAAAAGTAGAAATAGCGCGTCTGATATTTTTCGTTGTTTATGCACCGACGAGAAGCTTCACCGAAGGCGTAGTTCAAGCGTTCTACGTGGACTGAGAAAAGTTTTAAGAGGAGGCCATGGTTTCTTTAAAGCCACCTCGAAATTGCAAAGCATTTCCAAGTCCTCGTCAACACACTGACTCAATTTTTCACAGTTAACCTGTTAGAATACGAGGTTTTTATTCAATTGAGGACTAACAAGACCTTTATGCTGTTAAAAAAGAGACCTCCACAATATTTGCAACTATCGCTCAACCTACCTACTGTTTGCTGTCTTTAAACTCTTCACTCGAGTTATTCGTAACAAGACTAACAAAACGCTAGACGAAAGACTGTCATTTGAGCAAGTCGGGTCTTGAGAAAACTCAGTACGATGGAGCATATTCATACAGTGAAGAGACTCATTAAAGTATTAAGAAAATATAAGAGAGAAACAGTAAAAAAAAATGCAAAACGAGGGCATCCGGTGAAGTTTGTAATGCTCGAGTTCTCGGAAAGCGTAATCGTGGTTCGATCTGGCCTGTGGTCCTAGTTTCACGAATATCTCAGCATCCTTGTGGTTGTATAAGAGACTCTGTCTCACTTCCAACAAGAAAAGAAAACTTTCCACACAATTGAACAGAAGCGGTTGTGGAAGCTATGTATTCAAAATAGTAGATCCGATGGAAAACAAGAGAAGAAAAAAGGAGGCTCTGATAGTTCCAGAGAATCAGGGCTTTATAGTGGTTACGGACTAAACGTTGCTTTTATGGATAACACCTGAAACTTAAAATGGTTTACCTTTCTATTTATTGCCTACTATTTTTTGGTAGTAGGTTATTGTTTGACAAACAGTCAAAATTTATTCAAAATTCAATTTAAGTAAGTCACGCCATTAAAAATTGCTTAAGAAAAAGTGGTCTTGAAAATTATGTAACGATTGTTGACATCCCACCCAATACGCTACGCCGCCAGTTAGTTCGAAACCGTCTCTATGATCGTTTGTGCAGCTCAGAAAACTGTATGATCTGTCCTAACGGGAGAGACGGGGATTGCATGAGTTTAGGTATAATATACTTGATCTTATGTAACGCATGCGGCGAGGAATGTATTCGGAAAACGGGTAGACCACTCTGTGTCTGCATGAAAGAACATCGAGATGTGAAAGCTAAAATCCGTCAAAGCACTCCTCTAGGTACGCATTGGGCACGAAAGCACAACGGCGATGATTTTGAAGTGAATGTGCGGATCCTAGCGCAGGAATCAAAAACATCAACGCGCAAAACTCTTGAGGCGTTTTGGATAAATTTCAAAAATCCAAAGATGAACCGGAAGGACGAATGCCTCACTATCACGCGTGACCTGGCGCCCTATTTCAAAATGATATTTTGACCCCGGGGCGTGTTTTGCTCGCGACTCCACGTGAACTACGTGTGGGCCAGTCCCGCACGTAACATCACGGTGAGTGGCCTTTCTGTTCAATATGGCGTCTATTTGAAAGTTTGATCTTCATTAATACTTTAACCTTCTTTTCCACCGAATAATAAAAAGTATTCTAACATAAAGTACGTCCAGGCTCTGAGGAAGGCGAAGTGGCCGAAACGTCAGCCATCGATCAATAACATCAAAAACAACGACAACGACAACGAAGATCCGTACCAACCTCGCGTCAGCTTAAGAAGATCAGTTTATAAGATCACATAAATAAATATATCAACTATCTGTGCCGAGGTTCATGGAAAGTCGGTCTTTCGAGTTATTAAACAGTCAAAATGATGCTGAAATAATTGCAAAACTCACACCTCAGACTAAATTCAAACATACGGACTACGCTTTCCGGAGCGTAAGCATTGCTGAATGCATACAAAGGCCATTACTTTGCCTTTCTCTCGTGCAGTTTTTCCCCAAAGGTGCCATCAGCAATCAATCCTCAATTGGAATAATCTGCAGAGCACAAATTGCTATTGAGACCAGTTAAGCTGGAGCTACAGTGGAATTCATATTGTTTAACTTTCTGTTCAGGGCCTCATATTTTATTTCATGCAGTGGTTTATATTTCATTTAAATAAGTTCACTATGAAGCGCGTGTAGCGTAGTGGTCGGAGGTACCCTGCGATACACATGGGAACGATATACGCTCCTCATGCCCACCGAGCCTTCCACTCCGGGATTGGCAAATTGGTACTACACTTGTCTGGCACGATAGTAACACTGGCTGGATACATCGGTAGGCCACTGCGAGTCATTGTATAGGCCAGATATGTATTCAATTACCTCCAACAATGCTTAATGAACTCTAACCCATGACGCATCCCACAGGGATTGATCAACACCGAAAGGTTTTTTTTATGAACTTGCCCATAGTGCTAAAACATGAAAGCGGCCATTAATTTTTGAAATTTGTTTTTCGAGAGTTATGTGTTCCAGGCAATTAAGGGCTTGAGACGACAATATGTGTCTTAAATTTCCAAGCACCCATCATTCACTCATGGTTAGTGTTTTGCAACACCCACTAGATCGCTCGCCGTTCGATCTCGAGTTCTAGCTCAACATGGCTCGGATCAGTAATTTCCTATATGATCGCAGTGGGACGATGCTTGTATAAAAAATTCTGTTCCACCAATGATTTTGCGCATTCGTTATCGTCACAGCCCCCTTGATCAGAGTCGATAGTTCGCAGCTGGTTGTTGTCGCAATGTGGGTGGTCGGAATCATATAGAATTACTGATCGTTGTTAGAGAAGTTTAATGAAAGATATTTATTAAAACATTGATTGCCATCGCTCGTTCAATGAAGATCGTATTGGAATCGGAAACCGATAAACATCCGTCCTGTATAAAATGGCACTGCCGAATGAAGGCCGGCATTTAAGCGTGCTCCCTCTATTGTATTCCACTCAGTGCGGTAAAGGAAATCCACATCGCGACGACAGCCAGCTGTGTACCACCGACTTTGGCTAGCGAGCCTCTGAGGAAGACTAAGGTGCCGAAACGTTAGCCCAATAAAAGTTTTTATACCAGTCTCATGCCGTCTCAGTTGCATGGGAAATTGCGGGCTGCTGTTAGTAAAAGTTCCCAGGATCGACTTTCTATTAACCTCGACATTGGAATATGAATGTGTCGTTTTCTTGCTCAGCAATCGCGAGGTTTTTAAATAGCATACATTTACTTCCATAGAAAAACGCAATACAATACAACACTAGCTGACGTTTCGGCAGTGATGACTCATCAACCATATGCGACTATAATCAGCTGTTCTAAACTTCCTCATTGGAAGTCACGAAAAAGCGGCTCTGATGAAGGCGATACTGCCAGAACGTAAGCCAGTGTTGTATTGTATTGTGTTTCTATATGGAAGTAAACGTATGCTGTTTAAAAACCTCGCGAATGCTGAACAAGAAAACGACGCATTCTTAGCAAAGTTTAATGAAGGTCAGTTTTTTAGACTATGATTGACACGCTATGTGCAAACCCCAGAACACTCCTGGATTTGCAAATTACTATCAAACTTGTTTGGTTGGATAGTAGCTCCGTTTTGACATATCGGTTAGACATAGGAAATCATTGTGTACTCCAGGTATGCATTCATCCACCTCCAACGTTGGTTAATGAAGTCGAATGCAAAGCACTCCTTAATATGGATCAACGCTGAGAGCTTTGACCTTTCATTATCCTTAATACCATCCACTCAATGGATCTGATGAGAGTTTTTGATTAAGCGATTTTTCTTCACGATGAAGTTTAACCATTAGAGAAGAGTTCTGGGCGAAACAAAATCCTCAAGTAGGTGTTGCAGTTTGATCTCTAGGAACATCTGTTAAGTCGTTCTCAGTTTTCAATTGCGCAAAATTCAGCTCATTTCAACTGTTGTTCAACGGTTGCTTCGTGTTCGACGTGCTTCGATTTGCACAGGTTCGGTTTTCGTGAATATTGCTTCCTTAGTGATAAATTCTTCTACAAAAAGTAGAGCTTCATCAACCTTAACGTATAGAAGAACATACAGACGAATCAGATTTTATTTCGTAAGGCGTTTATTCGGAAACTCTACGAGAAATCTACGAAACACGTGAATATTCTTGACATATCCTTCTTCAGCATCCTAAAGAACGAACTATTTACGCCTAAAACAGTTGATTTTTATATGAACTTTGCTCATGTTCACCCTCCTGACCGCATTGTCAGTCAAACTCTTACAAGAGTGTGCAATAATTCTACAACAACGATGCTGAGATATTCGCAAAACTTGGGCCACTGTTCGGATCGAGCCGCGTTTTTTCTTTCCGGGGCCTGCGCATCACGCATTGCGATACGAAGGCCCTCGCTCTGGGTTTCTTTCAGCTAGTTTTCTACCTGATGCTGCCATCTGCAATCACCCACCGGCAAGATTGACCTGAGGAACACAAATAGGCATCCAACCCAGTTAAGCTAAGGCTGTAGTCGATATCTCAATGTTAACTCTTTATTCGTGGCGCAGTGTGCAATGCGCGAATCCCCGGAAAGGGAAATCGTGGTTCGATCTGGCCCAGGGTGCAAGTTTTGCGAATATCTCAGCATCGTTGTGGTTTTAATTCACATCATACCCTGCGGTGAAAAATTATAGTACGCAAAAAATGAAAGGTTAACATCGTGATTTTCACAGCATTTCGAAATAATTTCAAGTTTATAAGTAGTTTTGCTTGTTACTACACAAACACTTCTGTTTATTTGCCAATGAGAACGAATCCTCTGCTACTTTCTGTTTAAATCACCCAACCATAATTTCTATGAATAATTCTTTCGAGTAGCATTGCATTGTGGCTCGAAATCTCTAATGAATACCAACAGACTTCATTTGAAACCCTGACCCGCAACTAGCAAAGATTTTCTGGCTTGTGATAGTTACGGTAACTGCTGAATTTGCCGTCGATCTTAAGGTCCTAACGCACTGCGGAGACCATTTTTTTCTCTAGAAATAATACCTTTATTAAAACAATGGCAACCAACTGACCATCATTTTCGCTGGCTGCATCCATATTACTCATGGTCACTTTCGTTTCTGATGGACCGTCCGAATAATAGGAGCATTCGTAATTGTCTTCATCGGAGTCCTTTTCACTACTCGTAATTCCTAAACACAGTGCAAAACTTCCAAAATAGAAACTAAAACCACAAGACGGTTTCTTGCATGACTTTGTTAAAGCTGGTGGTTATGATCACTGTGTGTTTCACAAAGAACTGAAAGTTGGTGAACTGAGTAGTTTCTTACAACAAGAACAAGCGATAAAAAAACTTAAGAATACTTTTATCTACGACTTGATAAAAGTAGTGCGTAGTGGTTTGCAGGTTGAATACACCAACTAAAACTGATGAATCGAGCGAACAACCTTTGCAAATTAATCTGACGTTTGGATTGTCGAAATTCTCAACGGGACACAGCTCAACATAAGGCAATCTGTGTAGACATTCAAGAGAGTCGGCTACCCTGATACCGCCCAAGTAGAGTGTCGGTGGTACTGAAACAAGTTTGAGCAGTCGTTCCTCCGAAATCGAAGCGAACAGCAAACTCACTTTCGATTTCGGTCTCGGAACAGGGCATGCTGTACCACGAAACGCTACCGCTAAGAGCAGTGCTAAGAGGAGATGCGTCAGCGATTATGTCATCTGAAATGAAAGCACGGCTGTAGAGGAAACACAAGACAAGGATCTTATTACGTACGCTCGATTTCCACGTTGGTCTCGCTGGGCGGAAGGGAATATTGTGAATAGATGGAGATCTCCGAAAGTGCAGTTTGTGTTTCAATATATGACACTAAATTTCATCTGTACTGCTTCATAGTGCTCCGTACCACACGTGGATTTTATTTTTTTTTACATTAAGCACTAAAGAGAGAGATGTTCATAATTAACGAATAAGAATTACATACATGCCGTTAGAAGGTCGGCTTCTTCTTTCAACTTCGCTTGGGCACCTTCCATATTTTCTGGACTTCTTCTTTCTGAATTATTTTCTGTTGTTCAGAGTTTTTCGGAAGCAACAATCTTTCAGAACGTAACGGTGTTTTCGGCTCATGTTGACCTTTTTGTTCAGAAAACGGCTGTTTATTTAACGTTAAAAGGTTGTTACTATCATATTTATTATTATATTATATTTATTGTGTCATATAACATATTATCATATTTATTCCATGTGTTTCGGAACTCCTGATATTCGGGTCCCACAGAACAGTTTTGAGAAACACACTTTTTTAAAACTCGCGTCTCATGAAAAAGTATTCCATGCCACAAAGGAAGTTCGAAGCAACAGAGGACTGCTTATTAGTCCTATTGAAGATGAAGAGAGAAAATATGGTTGAATAAAACAGGCATCTAATTGTTTGGCCTGATGTTTCGCTACGTGGCACGTGCAAAGTGCAAAGATTCTCATCAAGGCACCGAAATTTCAGTTCATTTTATCAGTTTGTTTCATAGATCAACTTCGATCATCAGAAGATTTTAGGCCACGGTCTATTCGTAATGAAAATACCTAGTTAGAATACTCACGAGCCATCAATTCCTTTTCTTCGCTACCGTGATCGTAGTTTGATAACGCTTCCAAAGCTGTTTCAACTTCCGATTCCCGCAAATCGTCTAAGTAACATTGCATTAAAATAGAATAAACTCGACAAAGATTTCCATAAAAGTGTAAGAAAGTAAGTAAAATTTAGTGAAAGAAAACTCACAAGGACAAGCTATTGGTTCGATTAAGTCATTTTTTGAATCCCATGTGTTAAGCGAACAAGTCGACGCTCTCATGTCATCGCTGTCTGAATTATATACGAAATAGTATGCAGTTACTGTTTTTCTGTGATAAACAAACACGAGGTTCCTATTGTACTATTGTCATTGATATTGTTTGCTTATCAAAAGAAAACAGTAAATTATGAATCAATACCGAGGTTAACCAAAAGGCCATGGGAATTGCTATACGAAGTATGCAGCTAATAATATGAAATTAATTGCTACCGTAGTACTTATTTTATACAAAACTCTTCAGCGGATTCCTGTCCAATGTTGCATCCTTTACTTTATGTATATCAGCTACCACGTCCGTAATAAATCGCAGTGGTCAGTGATACTATGCGAGATACACGTATGGTCGTTGGTTCGATCTCGCACCAGATCAAGCCTTCCAGCCTTATGAATAAAAAATTGGCGCCAGATTTGCTTGGAAAAACTCTTCTCGATGCACCAATGTTACAGCGTTTCAAAGATCCTCTCACTTCTGACCCCACAATTCACATCATTAGCTGAAAACAGTTAGTAATAAGGACAATGGGAAAAAGGGAAAAACAGGAAATCACAAAATTTTGGACAAGACTTCATTATAGGACGTACACTCTTACTCTTCACTGCCAATTGTTTAATATGACCGTTTAATACAGCAAATGGCAGATATGAGAGATAACCGAGTCATAAAACACAGGCCACTAATAACTGGCTGAGAGAAATGTAAAGCAATGGCCTCAGTGGTACTGTGGGTAGCATGTGAGTCCCCGAAAAGGGTAATCACGGGTTCGAGTCTGTGCTTAGGTGTGAGCTTTGCAATTATCTCAGCATCATTGTGGATGTACGCCACGTAATAGCTTGCCATGGAAATAATAAGCAAAAAATAAAAGGGTAAACTAACCACTAAGACAAACTTCCTCCGCACCACTATGGTCCATTAAGGAACAACTGCACTTCGCAAAGCAATAAAACAACTGAACCTTGCTGTTATCATTTCCAAAGATATAGACTATGTAGAAATAATTTTCTATATCGTTTGATAATAAACGATAAGGAAGCACAAATCAGTTTTGTCCATTGATTTCATCTAGCCTAGATAAAAGGACAAAGGATAAAGCTCTTGGCGTTGACCAATCCCATGCATTCGTCTTCATTAACCGCCTTTGGAGGTGATTTAATGTATATCTGGCGTATACAATGAGTCGCGGTGGCCTACTGATGTATGGAGCCAGTGCCATTATCCTCCCAGACAAGTCTGGTATCAATTTTCCCATCACGGAGGGACGAAAGGCTTGGTGAGCCAGGGCGGCGGTGATCGATCTGGTGTGTGTGTTGCAGAGGGCCTCCAACGCTGCCCCACACGCACTTTGGCCTAGATACACAGATATACATTCGTGAATGCGCAAGTCATTTTTTTTATTGCTCATAATATGTATCCATACCAAAGTAATAGAAAATTTTATGAAAGTCTCCGATGAATGATTGTAAGTTTGGTGAGATCAAACGAAACCTAGTTCTAGAGAATAGGAGGCTGAACACCAGAAGAGTAAGCTGAGAGGGAGGTCTAATTGGAAAAGAGCTTTTTCTCTAAAATTTTTACTAGAAACTTTTACAGAGATGGTGCAAAGGATAAATGCTAAAAAAATACAATGTAAAGAAAAGCGAAGACACTGTATCAAAAAGACGAACAACAGTGGACATCGACTCAATCCATCATCTCTGAGGAAGACGAAGACGTCAAATCGTTAAGCGAATAAAGTTTTTTTTTTAAATCAACCTCGTGTTAGCTCACCATTGAATGAAGGTGCACTGATCACTTACCAGAGAATCACCAGAGAATAATACTAACAACAACGACAGTCCTGTATAAAAGATCATTTCCGAATGATATTGTCTCATTCGAACGTGAAGAAGATTTGACTTGATACGACGACGAGGACACCACAACGAGACCACGAAAAACATTGGACATGGGCACAGCTCGTCGGCTAATCAAAACGAAAACTATTTAAATTTGCAGATTTTCTAATAAAAAACAATTTTACTTATTCTAGTTGTACAAAATTCTAGAGTTATGGATACGATGAATTCGTTGAAGGCATTTTTTGAGTCATCGTTGTTAGTGAAGCATTTGTCGTCCAGGAAATTGTCAGAGTGCTTGAAGAAGTGATAGTCGTTAAGCGAGAGGTCTGGTGAATATGACGGATGAGGCAAGCAAAGCTTCGCAGCCCAACTGGTTCAACTGCTCTAGCGCTGGTTCCGCAACGTGAGGCCAGGCGTTGTTGTCGAGAAGGTTTGTTTCCTCCATGTTGACTAATGCCGGCCGTTCCTATAGGAGTTTACGGTGCACCTCGTTGATTCGTTGGCAATATACTTCTCTGTCGTAATCGTTTCGCTCGGACTCAAAAAGCTGTGATGGATCGGCCCAGCTGCAGACCACCAAACGGTCACCATAACCTTTTTTGGTGCAAATTCGGCATTGGGAAGTGTTGTGGTGCCTGATCGCAATCCAACCACTGAGCTGAACGCCTCCGATTGTCGTACAGAAGCTTGGTGGGCCACGGGCCCAGCGATCGATCCCGTGTGTGTTGTAAGGAAGCCTCCGATCACTGCGCGCACACGCCCCCCTCCTCTATCCTTTATCTACCTAATACTCTGAATCTAAATAGCCAACTCCTCCTTCTGAAAAAATTCTCTATTGGTTAAAATATGAAAATGATGTTCGAATATTTACAGTTCAAATCAGAACCAATTTTCGCAAATATCTCGGCATCATTGTAGTAGCAGTTCACATAACACCCTGCAGTGAAAAAGAGCAGTAGGCAGTAAATGAAGGTTAATATTCATATTGGAATATTTAACTTTTTGTTGAGTGCCTATTTTTTTTTATTGCATGGTATTATGTAATAGGCACCTTCTAGGATACTGAGATATAAACAAAACATGGAACCTGGGTTTCGAACTCGTGATTACCTTATCGGGGGGCTCATGTGATATCCACTGCATCAAAAGAGGCCCTTGCTTTGCCCTTCTCTCAGAAATTTTGTAGCTATAGCGGTAGTCTCAGCGATCAACCGGCAACGGGAATGATCTGGGAAAGACAAATCGGCACGAAAACTAGTCGAGCTGGTGCGGTTATCAAAACGGCATGGATCAGTGTGATGTATAGCACGTAAGCCCCTGGAAAGGGTAGTCGAAGGTCCCGAAACCAAGTAACGTTCCGAGTTTGGTTCATATCTCAGCATTCTTGTGATTGTGACAGCCCACTTTTCGAAAAAAGGAGATATATGAGATAAAGGTAAGATGATTTTTAGAAAACGCGACGAAAATTACTGAAGCTAAAGTGTGTTCTTTACGATCTAATGTTTGTTATTTATATTACACACCTTCTCCACTCCAGTTTAAGTGAGGGTTTTTTCACCTTCTCATTATAACTATCTTTAATAATGCACTGACATCGTGTTCTTGTTTTTTCACAATTGAAAGCACTCTTTTGAGAGATGTACTTAGGATGTAATCACATGTCTTGAACATAATTTTTTTTAAAGTGATGCAATCTATGGAGCTCTATGCGTGCTTTTTCGACACCCAATTTTTCTTTAGAGGGCGCAGAATAATTTCAAGTACTGAAAGCAATGTGTTTGCATAATGGACCGTAATAACGCACAAAAAATAAATAAAAGGCTAAAGCTCTCGGCGTTGGTCAATCCTTGAGGGATGCGCCATGCATTCTACTTTTTCAAGCGTCGTTAGAGGCTGTATGAGTGCGTATATGGCCTTTACAATGATCCGCGGTGCCCTACCGATCTATCGAACTAGTGCTGTTACCCTCTCACACAAGTCTAGCACCAATTAGCCCAACTCGAAAAGATGGAAGGCTTGGCGAGCCTGTGGTGTGGGAACCACCCCATGGATGTTTCATGGCGCCTCTGACCACTGCACTACAAGCTCCCAACACACAATTTGCAGCAAGGACATCTTTCATGCCCATAGTAAATTAGACTGAAGCTTCTTCTACAATTCAGTTACGCTGCTAAAATTTCCTAAAACTCTCCACTTATTGAAAAAAATGTTTTTTTATTATCGAAGAACCGGGAAGTCTGCAGCCGACGAAAAATTGCTCGTATTTTATTGGTGAAGCGACGTGAAACGGCGCTGAGCGAAGAAGAGGCTCCGGTTGGTATTGTGTGTAACACGTCAGCCGTGAGGTAAGGGTAATCGTTGGCTTGAAGACTACCTGAGGTGTTATTTTATTCTTTACTTACGAACAAGCCTACGTCTCGGCAGATTTCGCTTCCTCAGCGCCTGGATAGGTCACTTTAACTGCAGTCCATCCAGCCATCAAGTTAACTGCAATCTACCGAGCCAAAACACCTTCATAACCAAACAGAGAAACTGTTGAACCAAGATTTCAATGATATTGAATAAAGTATGGCTTCTCTGTGTTCTCACCCCTTTCTATGAGTCTTGCACTGAATACGTCACATGGGGCACAATCGCACCCAATTCACATGGAAGCGTGAAGTGCCTCTCACATTAACGTAATGGTCTTAAATACTGTCCGATATCACGCGTAATTGTGAGACTTTCCTCTCTGCGGTTCATTTTCGGATTCTTCGAATTAATCCAGAATGCCTCGAGAGTTCTGCGTCCTGGCGTTTTCGATCTCTGTGAGATGGTGTTCACTTCTATTAGGCTGGTACGTATGAAGTGCCCGATTTTATTGCGTTGTACTAATTTTCCACGTAGTTTCTTAAAGATAAGTTTTCGTTCTTCATACATGTTTAATACATATTTTTAAAGCACAAAATCCGCTCTTTCTATATCCTGCATTGGTTTTCTCAATATTTATGGTTTTGACATTTTTATAGGCTTTAAAGCTGGGCAGGAAAATGAACGTGATATTCTTGTCCTTTTTTTGTGTGGATGGAAGTTTGGACATAATGCCGCGGCAGGAGCTCGGAATATCAGCACCGCGTTTGGAGACGGTTTTGTTAACGAACCCATCATTCGTCGTTGGTACAGAAAGTTTGAATCCAGGAACGAGAGCCTTGCGAACGACGAGCGTGGTAGGCCAAATATTACGGTTAACGATGAGGCAGTTCGTACTCTAGTCGAATCAAATCCGCGTTAAACGGTACGAGAACTTACGAGCGCTTACAGTCAGTACTATGACCATTTCAGGTCACTTACAGTTGATTGGTAAACTAAAAAAGGATGGGAAAATGGGTTTCACACGAACTCAACGAAAAGCAGAAAACTCAACGTCTGGAGATTTGCAATCCGCTACTGATTTGCAACGATGGAGATCCATTTTTGAATCGCATTATAACTTGCGGTGAGAAGTGTATACCGTTCGATAACCGTCGTCGTTCGGCACAATGGCTGGACGCCTATGAGAACCCACGACACATGCCTAAACCGAGTATGCAACCAAAGCAGACAATGGTTTCCGTCTAGTGGTAAATGGTCGGTATAATTCATTGAAAATTCTTACGACCTGGCGAAAAGATTACGTCAGAGAAATATTGTGCTGAAATCGAAGAAGCGCATCAAAGACTACGCGTCAAGCAGCCGGCAATGGTCGGTAGAAAAGGACCAATATTGCTTCATTAGAACGCAAGACCGCACGTTTCCCAAATGACATTAAGAAAGCTGAATGAGGTGCATTACGAAACTTTATCACATCCGCCTTACTCGCCAGGTTTGTCGCCAACGAATTTCTTAGGCATCTGGACCATTTTCTCACGGAAAGAAATCTTCAACGACCGAACAAAAATATCTTTAAAAAATCCATCGACTCTGGGGCCAACACTTTTTAGATTAATGAGGGCAAGAAACCTATCTCTTGCTGGAAAAATTGGTGCTGATTTCAGTAGTGAATTTCCCAATTAATAAAAAATAGGATGGAAAAGGTTATGGTTATTTAAACTTGCATTTAAAATCGAACATTTCGCTTGTTACTACCTAATACTTCAAAATCTTCCCCGTTATGTCCCTGTGTCCTGTGCACCCCTTGTGGAGTATTTGATTTGAGTTTACAGACTAGTTCCCAGGATCGACTTTCTATTAACCTCGGCACTGGAATATGAATGCGTCGTTTTCTTGTTCAGCAATCGCGAGTTTTTTAAACAGCATACATTTACTTCCATAAAAACACAATACAATAGAACGCTAGCTGACGTTTCGGCAGTATCGCCTTCTTCAGAGTCTGGAAGGGCGTACTGATATACAATCTACTAGGCCAAACGCTTCAATAACACTTACAAAAAGACGAAAAACTATGGTAATTACACGATCAACAGCTTCTCGAAAAACTCACCGCTTTTTACGTGACTTCCGATGAGGAAGAGTAGAACAACTGATTATAGTCGTATATGGTTGATGACGGCACCATCCCAAATCAGAAATTGATGCGAACATACGGGGTCAGGCCGAGTATGACCTCTGGGCATTCGTCCCTGTTATTCATTGCAGAGTTTTTGTCATTTATCTAGAAAGCCTCAAGAAGTTTTCGCGCTATTGATTTAGTCTCCTGTGCACGGATATTGACTTTTGCTTCAAAATCGTCTCCGCTATGCTTTTGTATCCTATACGTGCCTAGTGGGGTGCTTCGTTTTAGTTTTCGTTTGCCATCTAGGTGTTCTTTTATACGGATACACAAAGGTCTGCCCGTTTCGCCAATATATTCATCTCCGCAATTATTACAATAGATCAGGTATATCGTACCTGAACTCATGCTGCAGTCACCATCCCTGCCGCAAGGTCAAATTATGCAATTTGTTGTTTCACATAGACGGTCATGAAGGCGCTTGCGAACTAACTGTCAACGTAGAGTAGCCGGTGGTATTTCAACTATCGCTGCCTATTCCTCTAGATCTGCCCTTCTTAAGCATCGTTTTATAGCTACGCTTACTTCATCGCTTATAAAAGGCAACACAAACGGGACTTTCTTTTGACCAAGTGTTTCGCGTGGGCGCGTCGTTCCACTTCTAAACGTATCTCGTGGGGTTTCGTAGCCATTGGAGATGGCTATTTGCCGAGCCAAGTCGCGCGATTCTTCCTTTACTTCCCTGGTAGCGCACACAGAGGTGGGGCTGTTCGAAACCCAATGGTTACTATTCTTCGCGAAAACTATGAAGGAAAGATATGATGTTCTGCGAGTCTGTAGAACGAGTAGAACACACTTTGCAGGTGACAGGAAAAAATGGAAGGTTTACTGATGACTTATTGGATCACTCAATGATCAATGGAAGGACAAATGATACTCATGATAGGAAAGCATCGCCGCTTGTGCAAGTGGGATTTCTCAAAGAACCTATGTCACCTGCATCAACTGTATTCGCATAGGTCACAGAGCTACTTCATCTGCTGTCCTGTACTTTTCACTTGTCCATGTCACGTGCAAGGATGACATGGTTTCGTCTTTCAATCTAAGAACTCGTAATTTTTTTTTGAAATCATCGTGAGGAATTCTGACCATGAGGTTAATGGTCACTCTGATTTAGACATGTTATTCCGTGGGAAAAAGGTACTTTCAATATCGCTTCTCTGGCACTGTTTAAATAGTGCTGACACACCCTCACTGTCCACACAGACTCCAATTCTCGGGAATCCTCAATATTCTCTTCACTAAGAATGCTCGACGCCGCTTTGCGTTGTTTGTTGGCTCAATTGAATACAAGCAATTTTTTTCGAAACCGACCTTCCCTAAACCTCGGTGTGACTAATCAATATGTATTCTTTCTTGGTAAGCTTGCACGAGGTTGATAAATATATTTATTTTCGGCTAACGTTTCGACGTCTTCGTCTTCCTTAGAGCCGGTGATCCAAGTCGATGGTCTATGATTGTTGTTCGCCTCGACGTTACGTCTTCGCCTTCGTGTCGAGCCAGATCTTCCTCAGTGAGCCATCTTCTCGAATTCGAGAACGTGAGAAAAGATCAGAAGATCATATAAATAAATAGAACAGACTTTGTTCTATCCCTCTACTGGTATGAATGATCTGTCCACTCAACTACCATTTGCTGCGTGTTACTATAGACCATTATGCAAGCACATTGTTATCAGCTTTTAGAGCTATTATGAGCCCTATGTCGAGTTCGTACCAATACACATTGTTTCGATCTTACGTCTTACGGCTACCAAGCCTTCCATCCCTCTGGGGTCGAAAAATTGTTCCAAGACGTCTCTGGAGAGTAGCAGCACTGAATCGATACATCGGAAAGCCGCCACTTATTGTATGGGCCAGATATGCATTTAGTCATCTCTAATAATGCTCTACTTCTGTTTTTTTTCTGCATATTCCATACAGTAAAAATGAAATGATAGCTTGTTTTTAGCTCAAATAACGGATAAATGAACTTTTCCAGCAAAGGCTTCTGTAAAGAATTAAGTGAAGAGAATGAGTTTCTGGTGGTGTCCCTCATATTACGATGTCCTTACGATTAGCTAGCAAATGAGTAAACATGGATAAGCCTTAAAGTTTCTTATATTGACTTTGTGTTGCAGCTGTTCCATCTGATCAGTTCCTGACCCTTATAAGGACGATGTTATACGCAGAGAAAATTGTGTGGTTACTGAACATTGATCTTTATTCAAATGCGCTACCATTCAAGAATCTCCGAACTTGGATAGCAAGCTGACTACATAAATTTGCATATAAGTTTTGCAAAGTTTTACAGATAGGTACACGTGAAACCGATTCAATAACCATTGACTGTCAAATATCTCTTCATCGTGGTAATTAACGCAAATTCTGAAGAAGGACAAAGATGCAACCATTTTAGGACTCTTCACAACTAAACGTTCTCCTTGGAACCAAACACGATCTTATCGACGACCTGTGCACCCATCGTGAAACTGTGGTCCTGATTTGCAGCCTCGTAGCGCCAACTGCCGAACCTATTTTCACGTTGATGAATTTGCTGCGCTGCACTATTCTGATCAAAACTTTAACACATTTTGAGTAATAAAAAAAATATCCGAAGAAGCCAATGTGAATGGGTTCCAATTCACATCTTCTTTATTTTGTTAAAACTCTTCATTCCTTTCAGTGTCCAAAATTTCAGATTAAACTTCTATAGAAAAGAAGACTATCCACAAAATGAATTGCAGTAGCTGTTCGAAAAATATGTATGAAATTCTTAAGTATTGGTTAAATGAGCAAGGCGGTCCTCATTACCTTCCACGAGAATAGATGTTCTCTTTCTCAAGTTTACGATGAGCTTTTTTAAGTTCAATATCTCGATCCAGGGTTGGGATAGGGTAGCCGTACGGAAGCACATAAATCCATTTCGACTCAATTATGCAGGTTGTGTAGATGATTCCATGTTCAATGAGATCTGCAAAATTTGCAAGTTCGTCTGGACCACTTCCACAAAAGAAGACCATTTACTGTGTATGTGCCAACTGTCATTTTTAACTACTCGAGTACTCACCATTAATTGCGGATTCAAGAATTGCCGGTTCATTTACGGGCTCGTCGACTTTCATACCGATTTCTACCAGAACTGACCAGAAAAGTGCGGCATTGGGAGTCAGGTGCTCATTAAAATTTGACATAAATGTACACCTGAATTACAGTAGGTTTAAGAACTGTGAACGGGTTCTAGGAAACTATACCACTTTCATTTACAAGCAAGCAAGATAGGATCTTTTAAGAAGTTGTAAAGTCAACAGCTCATTGGTGGAATACCCATTCAAGACTTCCATAATTTTTCTCCTTGTGAGAGGTCACAAATCAGTAGTCGGAAAACCGTGGTTTTCCAGATAGCAAATAAATGGTCATGCTTGAACAACTAAAGGATAATGTGCACGCCTTGACTGGCATAGGGATAAACTGCTCAGTTTTGTTTCCCCAGATTGGCATACGCTTTCCGTAATGGGTATGCTTCTGTGCAGGTGGACTTTGTTATGCACGACAATTCGATCAAATTTTTGTAATTAAGTGGTTAGGTAAATATAAAAAGACTTAGGTCTCTTCCAAAAAGTAAGCTCAACAGACACTTCGAAAAAGCTTCACAGGCTTCCCATGATTGTACTTATCTCGGTGGGATGGTCCGGTGAATTACTCACAAGCTCACACTATCAGAAGCTCACCTGTAAAATATAACATGTGGTTGGGGAAAATACAGCCACGAAAGTTTCTCTGTGAATTTTGGCTGTGGTCGTCGCATTCCTATGCCGACGAGGACGACCTGTGCAATGATGGCGATGTTAGCTGCTTTGAAAATACCTGTGATTTTTCCTGTTATAACAGAAATGGTAAACATAAACTAGAAAAGCGGAACAACTATGGCACCACATTAAACAAAAAGCGTTCAGAAAAGACCACAGCCGTTTTAAAAGTTCGGTATTTTATTTTCAAATAAAATCTGTAATCACTGAATCCCTATTACAAGCTATTTTAGAGCTAAGATTTCGTATAGCTTTACTTCATTGGTTCAATTCTAGAAACGACGCAGCGTTAGAAACTTCAATCGTCATGAAATCAGAGACTAGGCAAGGTTTCCCAATATACGATACCGCATCGAAGAAACCAGTCTTCATGTCGGAGAAGGTCTTGAACACCTGCCACCGTGTGACGACACTCACGTGGAACTGAAGACCAACACTCCTGCGTGGTCTGATAGTACTTCCATTAGAGTAAAAACTAGATGATAGAAAAGGAAAGCAAGGGCAACGGTTGGTGCAGTGCAACTGAAAGGGTAATCGCGAGTTCAAAGAGCATTTGGGGTTCTGAGCTCTTTCCATATCTCAGCACCCATGTGATTGTATTTCACACTAATGCCTTGCCATAAAAAATAGGCAGTAAATGAAAGTTAGAATATCGTAATAAAATCCACAGCTCAACAATCGTTTCCCATTGCTGACATAGCGGAAAAGGGAAAAATCTCTATCAGTAGAAGTTTGAGCGAATGGCACGCAGATTATTGCCACGAAGTCTATTCAGTGCTTCATCCATACAGCAGAAAGGACTCGTATCTAGATCAAGCATGAACGAAGGCTAAAGTGCACCAAGGTAGGCTGTTGTGAGTGTCTGTGATCCGCAGCCGGTTTTAGTTTACTACAACATTGCAAATCTTGGTGAAAAGACCACAGCAGAAGCATATTGTTCGACGAAGTGATTTCAAAATTGCAACGCGCTGCTCGAGAATTGCTTAAAGAAGAAGGTCTAGTCCTCCACTGCTCGATCATACATGGCGTGACTAATACAGCCGAATGAACGAATTGAGCTACCAAACGCTGTCTTAAATCGCATTGTCAACCGACTTTTAGTCAAATTCTGTTGAGTACGTCGAAAGTAATAACGAAGGGAATCCTTAGGCAACCAATTCCTTGATAAAAATATCTTCCATTAATTCGTCATTCTCAGAACTTTAGAATTTTATGCTATCGTAACAAATAGACCAGTTATGTGCTAATAAAAATATGTGGCTGTTAGTGGTTTTCGTTATGAGTAATGAAGTTTTTATCGAACTGAGTTATAGGGTGTTGTTTAAAACCTACACTAGTTTTGGACTATCCAATGATTGAGTAGGTCCTCGTTAACAATTAACACCCAGTGCTGCTTTCTTGACAATCGCACATAATCTCTTGTCGGCCAGAACATCAGCGTGAGTTGAAAACCTAGTACCTTTGTATAGCAAGCTTTGTGACATTGCTCTAAGGTGATAAATTAACCCCATTTTAATCTTAACTCTTTTATTTACTGCCTTTTTTCTTCTTAATGGCAGAATATGTTGTGAAATATAACTCGTATGAAGTGCTGAGATATTTGCAAAACTCCGGACCACAGGTGTATGCAGTGGGGAACGAACACGCGCTGTTTTCCTTACCGGGGGTCTGACCCGGATGGTGTAGTGGTGAAGTGCGCTGCTCTCCGGTAAGGACAACAGCGCGTGTTCGTTCCCCACTGCATACACCTGTGGTCCGGAGTTTTGCAAATATCTCAGCACTTCATACGAGTTAACCCCATTTTATTCAAATTCTCAATTGAAATTGAAGACGAAGTGCAAATGTTGTCATTCTCTAGGCAGTTACAGTGGCCAAAAATATACCGATACAGATTCTATCGATTTCTCTTTCAATTCATAAAGTTTACTATGATCTGAGATATGCATGGTTAATGTAAAGAAGTGGAATAATTTTCGGGCACGTGGGAATTGAATCATTCCATATCAGGTAATTCTCAAACATAATTTTGAGTGACAAGTAGCTATAAAATAACGTTTATCGACGACAATACTAATAAAAGCATAAAAGATAATGCTCTTGGAGTTGATCATCAATCCATGAGAGATGTGCAACGCATCTGACTTCATCATGCACCGTCTGGAGGGGATTGAGTGCATATCTGGCCTTTACAATGACTCACAGTGGCTTACCGATCTATCTAACCAGTGCTGCTATTCTCCCAGACGAGTCTTGCACCAATTTGCAAACCCCGAAGGAACGAAAGACTTAGTGGGCCATGGGCGCGATGATCGATTCCAAGTGTGTGTTGCACAGCGCGTCTAACCACTGCACCGCGCGCCCGACAATGCCAACAGAAGAGCCAAATGTAATTAAAACAGCAGCTTTGGTGCGCTACACCCGCAGATCGTTGTTATAAAATCTACGCTGTCTATTCTGAGCTAAAATTTATTTTTGTGTGGCATAAACGACATGCCTATTAAATATGCTATAACATTTTATGAGAAGTATGTTCTAAACCAAAGCTGACGACGTTTAGGGCTATAACTGATTGTACGATAGAGTTCCTGAGCGCCTCCCAAAAGTCAATTCGCACCAAAAGGTGGCCCATCTCCAAGCACTTGGAAATCTCTTGCTGAGAAGGATTTTTGACAGAGAAACTATCACCAAAATTGACGCAGAAGTTCCATGGCTTCTAAAAAGGTTGTATTTCCACCGTACTAGAAAGAGCGATTTTTTGTACCATTTACAAAAATGTGTAAAATTCAATGGTACTTGCTTCTATTAAAATTGTCCGGTATAAGCCGAGACTTAGGACATCTAAAGCACAATGGTACGAACTCATTTCAATTGCTTAGCAACGAGATGGGAGGATTGCATTAAAAAAATTATTACTTTTAAGGCTATTTGTAGTTTTAAGTACCTTGGAATGCCGGAGATTTATATCAAGGCACAATGAAGAAATTCTCCCTAGGTCAGTGATCGGCATCGTCGAAATCACGTAGTCGTAAGAAACTGATTCGCCATTGACCAGTAGGACCTGTGGTATATGAAACATCGGCTGCAATACGTTAATCTGTCATCATTAGAACACTAGTCGCTGCAAAAATACTGCAGTATAGTCAACCTCGTATACGCTCATCAAGAAAGAATATATTTGATTAGTCATACCGAGGTTAAAGGAAGGTTGGTTTCGAAATATTACTGCGGTGGCGACGGTGGATATACAGTAGTGTGGCAGCTCAAGAAGACCATATGGACACCTGGTATACATTTCCAGTTCAGTGGGCATGAGAACTTTTTTTGCCATTTTTACCACAATTTCCACAATAATTCGAAAGCTAATCGAAAAACGATTAATGTAGGAGAGGTGGGGTCAGATAAGGCGGTCATTGCACATAATAATTTAGAAAAAACTTTTTTTCGATAAGCTCATTAGCTATTTGATTGGGAACTAATCGTTTTAAAGGACAAAAAAAAACAAAGTTCTCGGTGTTGGTCAATCCCTTAGTGATGGACTATGTATTCGATTTCACTAAGTATCGTTTGAGATAATTGAATGCATATCTAACGTTTACAATGATTCGCGGTGGCTTACCGTTGTATCGAGCCAGTGCTCCTATCCTCCCAGACAAGTCTAACACCAATTTTTCGACCCCGTAGAGTTGAAAGGTTTAGTCAGCCTAGGACTAGGGATTGAACCCATGTTTATTGCAAGGAGGCTCTAAACACTGCGCTACAAGCGGCACAATTAACTGTTATTTTATCCAATCGTTATTATAAATCGTGGTTATTGTATAAAATGTTCAAGCATTAAAATTACGAAAATAGGCTCAAAATAGGCTACAAAGCACTTCCATTCTGACAGCGAAATGTTAGCGTGTTCGGCCACAGCAACCATTGTAAATAATAGCACAGTTCCCAGTCATACGCACAGAATGACCAGGCAATGTCTCTTCTACAGTACTGCTATGTCCACAAATTCTCAGGACATCTAGTTATCAGGGAAATATTGTTTGCTGTCAATAAACCAGCTGGTAAATAAAAGCTGAAAAATATGTACCATAACCAATGGGTTTAAAAAGCATTTAAGTATTGAGGATTTTTCTTGCCGATCAAATTTTTGTGCATGTCACACTGCAATCAAATGGTTCAGAAGTCACAGAACTCTTTGCGTAAAATCTATTCGATTATAAAAGTGAATGCCTTCAATCAAAACTAGAGGAGTAATATGTGGTCTCATTCATGATGAAAGGTTAAGGACTGAATAAAGTTCATCCACATCAAAAGACTTTAGTTAAATCATATCATCAAGTGTTTCAACCATGCAAAAAACCGATTGCATAACCCGTTGGCAGATCACTAATCAATCGGATGAGTCGAGGTGATTCCGGAAACATCGTTGTTCCTTCTCCTCTGTTGCTGCAGCTTCTGCTCTATCAACCTTCTTCGTTGAAAAGGAACAAGGAAGGAATCAATATCATTTGGCAGCCGTCTTTTCTGAGATGTTGTCTCGCACTTCTCGACGTTTTCGTTTTCTTTCCGATGTTATAATACATATGTAAGGCAGAACAGTGCAGTTCTAAGGAGCGGTTTCTTCTCTTCATTTGTTGAGGCGCTCGAATCTAAATATTGCTCTCTTCTTGGCACGTGGACTACCGATAAAATCTGTTCCCTCTGTTTGCCTACCAAGAAGGCAGGAATGGCGAAATGAATGCTTGTAGTATTGTGGTTACTGAGCTTATATCGCGTTCATCAATATTTTTTCGATACTTTCGTCTAGGTTAGTTGTTTCGCACTTACATTCAGACTATTTCTGGATTTTAATGATGATAAGATATTTGCAAAATTCCGCACCGCAGGTGTCTGCGGTGGGGAACGAGCGCGTTGTTGTCCTTTCCGGGAGTTACGCGTTCACCACCACAACATGTGAGTCTTTCCGGTTACTTCTGGATTGGAACTTTGATAGGATCGAGCTCATGCATGACGTGTGCCGTATGTATGCGCTGTTCAACTGCCGGCAATGTGTGCCGCGTCATTTATTTACATTATAAAATTTTTCACTGGGATTTCGTTTTTCCTCATTACAGGAAAAAGTCGATCGCTTAGCGGCATCACGGGTATTTTCGCTGCTAATTTCTTCTATCCCTTTTCAAGCATAACATTAAATGCCACAAGCATACCATATGAGCATCCATCGCAGAGAGTTTTGCTCTGAACGTAACCAAGTCTCCTGATTGGATATATTCTTACATTATTATTATTATTATTATTACTATATAAAACGAACAAAGAATAAACCTTACAGGGTTGACCAATCCCTGAGGGATATTCTATGCATTCTACTTCATAAAGCACCGTTGGAGGTGACTGAATGCATATTTGGCCTTTACAGTGACACGTGTTGTACCGATGCATCGAGCCAGTGCTGCTACCCTCCTAGATAAGTCTGGTACCGATTTGAGGACACCGAAGGGGTGGAGGACTTGATAATCCTGGGACACGTGGAACGATCCCATTTATATTACAGGTGCCTCCGACCACTGCGTCACACGTGCTATTATTATATAAATTGCTATAATAATACAAAATTCATGTGATGTGTCATAGTTTATATTATATATATGTATATAATTACATAAATTTTTTATTAAACTATATCTATAAATCACATACAATTTATATTATGGTGCTTTTATTCTGATATAGGGTAATACCATGTTACATATATTTTCTACACAAATTATGTATGGCTTTTCGATCCAAATGCCAACGGCCCTCCATCACTCATAGTGTCTAAGCTGGATGCTCTAATTCTCGATCGCGGACCCTTACTTTACTGTTGACACATTGATAACTGTTTCATCTTCTGCTACGTACAAGAATAGATGGATGAGTGCTTTAAATTGTTAAAATAGACAACCAACGCATACAAAATTCACACGGAAAAAACCAACCGAAAACTGGCTTTCATTCTTAAATATTCAAACAAAGCTCTCAGAAAGTGGCTATGTAATAAAGTGGTATCTTAAGCAAAGTAGTAAAAATATACTAGTTCGCTACCTCTCCTCTCATCCTTCACATATGAAGAAAGCACTGATCAATACCGAACGGCTGAAAATGTGTGGACAGGAGAAGAGGAAACGAACGAAGCGCCAAACTTGGCACGAAAAATAGCCATTTCAAATGGCTACGAAGTAGAAGCCACCCATATCGAAAGATGGATGATGCTTCAAAACAATGTTTCAAACTTAAATAAAATCCCTTTCAATCGAAGTAGATTACGCCGCTAGGAAAAGTGGCTTTGAAAATTCTTTTGCAGTTACCTCTCATCTATTGAACTGCGCCGTCAATTAGTCTGCAACCCACTTTATGATTACAATGTTAACCTTTTTCATTATGATGCTAAGATATTTGCAAAAATGCAACTGACTACAATTATTTACTTTTATAATCGTTTGTGCAACTCAGAAAATTTTACAGCTTATCCTAACGGGAAAATGGAGATTTCATAACCTCAGGCACAATACACTTGATCTCATGTAAGAAATGCGATGAGGAGCGCATTGGGGAAACGGGTTAGACCACTTTGTGTCAGCTTAAAAGAACGAAGCATAAAATTCTTCAAAGTACTCCTCCAGGTTCACTTAGGACACAAAAGTACAATAGCGATTTTTTCAAGTGACCGTCAGGAACCAAGAGCCACAATTGTGCTGAGATATTTGAAAAAATTGAAAAACTTCAGGCCGCAAGTGTCTGCGGGGAGGGGGAGTGGGGAACGAGCGCGCTATTGTCCTTTCCGGTGAGTAACGCGTTCACCACCACACCATGCGGGTTCCTGGTTTAGCTTGTCTCTCAGCTAGTTTTTCATCGATCAGTGGTACAGCAATCACCTGTTAACGCGATTCTTCTGGGAAGCGTAATAGCGTGTTCGCAGGCACCTGCAGTCCGGAGTTTTGCAAAGATCTTAGCACAGTTGTGGTTTTGGATAAATTTCAAAAGTCCTAATATAAACCGAAAAGGTGAATACTTTGCTATCACATGTGATTTGACTCCTTTTATCAAGCCGACTTTTCGGTTTGGGTGCTTTTCACTCGCCGTCCCACGTGAACAATACACGGCTGGTCCCTTACACAACAAAGCGGCAAGTGATTTCTAAATCATTTATGCAATAGGTCTTTATTAGTACTATAAATAGCCTATCTAATTAATCGAGATATATGGATAGCGTTACATAAAATGCATCCGACTATGAAGAAGACGAGGTCGCCGAAACGCGAGACATCAAATCACAGCAACAACAACAACCATTATTAGCTTATAATTCATATAATAATAATAGTAGCACGTAAACTACGAGATTTTTTTCACACCGACCAGAATTACATGTTGTCAATGTTCACGTAGTATGCTGGTACTACTGAATGTCATGTTGTTCATCATATTACTCGACGCTTGATACTTGAATGGCCTGTCGCCACTGGTTGTGCTGGTCCCAGCAAAATTTCCACTTCTTCAGAGTTTTCCTGGGTTAGCCACTGTGGTTTCCTAGGGATCAGAGGTCAGCCTTGCTAAAGTCTGCCTCAGGTCGTCGCCACCCCAGGCAGTCCCTGCCCTTGTGGATCCAGAGGGAGATTTGCCACCATGCTAATAGTTTGAAACCAGGACGATGGTGGATCGTAGTGTTAGTATGCTGCATTACTATAACATAATGACAAAAATAATATATTTAATGTAAAAGTAAATTTTACCGTTCGACGTGTAAATAAGAAGATCGTTATTGATCACTTTATGGCTCGTATAAAAGGTAACTCTTAATAAATATTATTAGCATATCATTATTAAGTCTTCTACCCTGACGTCACATGCGTCTAAAAGCAGCCATGTAGGCGAAGGAATTATTTATCTCCAAAGTATCTAGGAGTATGCCCACCACATTTTTTGCCTCTTTTTACGTGACTCGTTATCACATCGACTATTAGGATTCCAGCATTTCTTGCATTCGATTCGTCTCCCTCGCATCCTTTTTACAGAACGGTCTAAGAACTGTTGACGTGTTCTTTCGTGGGTTTCTTGACGATTTCCTCTCTTCTTTTTTATGAGCGAAGGAGAATGTTGGCTAAATGGATTTTTCTTCCAATCTGGGAGATAGCCGGGCTAAGGCGATTTAAAGTGGATTGAGGGCGAGCGTTGGGGAGGGAGTCGAACAAGCGTCCTTGTTTCTGATCGACGGCATCACTAACCACTGCGCTATCTCCTATTTCCATCAATACTTTTTAGAACTAATGCAGGTGAAGAAATATGTCTGTATCTACAGTTTATAGCCGAGGCCTCCAGAGTGTGTATAGAGATGGAGTAGGCCAATTCATGTATGAACTTCACCAAGTCACAACTATTTCCCAGTAAGGAGCCATCCAGACTTTGAAGACGGACACGAGTTCCAAAATGATTACTTCACTTTTTCGTTAGCATTAGGAGTGATCGCTTAAAAAAGAAATTTAGAGAAGTGTTGTGCAACAATTAACTAGGCTCATGATTGACGAATGAGTACTGAAGAAGTTGGTTTCAGAACATTTAGCAGCAAAACCTCTACAAGTTTTCCTATTTGAAAAATCGTGATATTTTAGTGTAAAACGGTTTCTTTTGTAAGAGAAAAATGAGATAGTAGCTAGTAAATCGCAATTATGTTCTGTACCGTTTTTGTTTCCGCATTTAGTGATAATACTGTTGATCTGAGTCGAAACCAATTCGCTGGTAGCTCTGATGCTATCGCCTTCCATACCTCACCAATACCACGACTGTCTCGTGGGTATCTCAAATATTTAATTTAGGCTTCTTTGTTTGTTTCAATCGCAAATAAGGTCTTGAGGTTTCTTAGTTCTCGTTATGCTATATCTTCCTCCGTTCCCTTTTTTCGCGTTGTTTCATTACTGTAATATGTTCAATTCCAAATACTCAGCAACTTAGAAATATTAAAGGAATTCGGTTTAGGTTACACCTGAACATCGACACCGCTTTCCTGTTCTCTTCGTCTATTAGCTCCTCGCGACTTAGTCCACAACGTCTCTTCAAGTCTTCAATGCTGGTGCGTGGAATACGGTTCTCCACCCAAACGGTGTTCATCTCACTCAGCGGAACAGTCCATACCTTAATTTAAGGTTTTCGAAATGTCACGAAAACCGCAAATATCTTAAAAATTTTTTACACATCTGTTTATTAACACCGATATATCTTAGTAGCAACGAACCTTCTCATTGTATGGCCGAATAAAAATTGCCTGGAGTGTTGGTCCGAAGGTGTTCAGCGTAAATTCATCGAAATTTGAGGCAATCTTAGTGCATTTGGATGCGGAACAAATTTCTTCGAGGCATCTTCTTTTAATTTCAGCTGGGAAATAAGGAATGGAATCCTGAACTGGGTATGGGACGTAATTCGCCTCAATGTTTTCGTCGTCGTTTATCACATGCCGCATGTACGCCTGAAAATGAAGGGTACGAGTGGAACGAGCATGTCTAAACCAGATTATTTAAAACGTGAAAATTCGGAAAGGTGCTTCGTACCTTTCAATTGTATCCGCCGCTCTCCCTCATACGGAGGATTATGTCTCTATTTGTGGTAGAGTAAAACCGCGACCCTCCCTCACCAAGTACTCCATCCTCCGGGATCGGCAAATTGGTTCTAGACTTGTCTAGGAGGATAGCAGCACTGCTTCAATATATCGGAACCCCACCGCGAGTCATTGTAAAGACCAGATATGCATTCAGTTAGGTCCAAACGATGCTTTATGAAGTCGAATGCATAGCGCATCCCTTAGGGTTTGATCAACGCCGACAGCTTCATTCTTTTAATCTTTATGGAACAGTTACGTCACGCTTCGGCAGAAACACCAGAAGCGACCAATGTCTTTACGCAAAGACGTTGGAAAATTCAAGAGACCGTGACCTTACTGGCTCTTGTTTAAAATGACCAATAATAGGATTATAGCTGATGCCATTCACCAACCGCCTCCATTAAGCTATGCTGCTGTTATGGAAAGTAGAGATTGTTGGCAATAATTTGAAATAAATTGTGCTTGTGTTTTCTATCAGCAGTCGTTTTTCCCATTTTTCTAAGGAACATAGCAAACTAACAATAACCCAATTATTTGGAGAGTTAATCAGATTGTCTGCAGGTGATCATGGATTCAAGAACACGTCATAACAGCGGTAAAGTAGAAGAAAAATGGGAAAAGCAAAAAAATGGGAAAGCACAAAAAAAAAAAATACAAAGTACAAAATGAAAGTGGAAAATGGTGGTAAAGTACACACCCACTAGAATTACTAGAAAAAGAAATAGTAGAAATTTAGAAATAAAAGAAGAGAACTAGCTGAGAGGCAGGCGAAACGAAGGACCCGAATGGTGTGGTGGTCGACGCGTTAGCCCTGGAAAGGACAATAGCGCGTTCGTTCTCCACCGCAGACACCTGCGGTCCGGAGTTTTGCAAATATCTCAGCATCTTTTGTGGTTCAGTCACACGTTATATCCTGTCGTAAAAAATTGTAATAGACAGTAAATAAAAGTTAACAAAAGCAGAAGTGCGCTGCTCCCCGGTAAGGACAACAGCGCGTGTTCGTTCTCCATTGCATACACCTGTGGTCCGGAGTTTTGCAAATATCTCAGCATTTCATAAAAGCAAGAGTTTCCAAAAAAAAATTCGGTGAAAAATAGCACCACAATATGTTCGACTAAGCTGCATAGTAGGAAAAATGACTTACTTTGACACAACGAGGTACATTGTTCCAGTTGTTTACGGCTCGATTAAGAACGCTTGTGAACTTTTGATATTTGGAACACCCTAAACACATTATAAAATTCCGTGCTGATCAATCCATCAGAAAAGAGCCATGCATTCGACTCCACTCTTACAGCGTAGAGATGATAACGTACGTGCTTTGCCTTTACCCTCGGGCTTGTGAGTGCAGAAGTTAACTTAATATTCCCAGCAACAAAAGTCCCAAACTAACCAGTAACATGAACGCCGAGATCCCATGTGAAACCTCTGCGATCGGTGACTGAACGGGCCAAGCCGCCTACATCATCCTCTTTTTCGAACACAATAACCTATCATATGTATAAAATAATAATAGACTTATATCAGTTAACGAGCAAACAATTAACCTAACAGACTTATAATGGCAGATAACTGTATTCTCCAGAAAATCATTGCCAAATTCACTAGTTTTGCCCTGGGTTATCAAAATTTTGCCCAGTTAGTACGGTATTTCCATTGTCAAGTTTTAAAAGCTTGAAAAATGTTAAGGTCGCGCTACAGTAGAAAACAAGGGGCTTCTATATCATTATTGATAAGACGTCCATTTATGTAGGAAACATTGTAGTCCTATAAAACACCTGATAGTTAAGCTATAGTCCTCGTTCTTTTGCTTTGCAAAAGAGCCGTTTCCACCAATGAAACCCCTTTGCAAGACTACAGTGATAGAAAAAAGTGATGTACAGGCAACAAAACAACTACCAACTTTATTCGCTGGCACTGAATGGACCTGAACATGTCCATGGATCTTTATAACTCTGAATCCAACACCGAATCAGGATATTTCGACAAAAATTTTGTCGTTTCCCTGGAGGCAGTAAACAATTCAAATCAAATTAGATGTGCAACATCTATACAAACTCCTCAGAAATTAGCTATTAGCTGTTTCCTCATTATCCAAAGCACTTGTGGCAAGAGAGATATGGAATGAAGAGAGTGACTGCCGAAGCGAAGACAGCATCATTTCAACATTCGAAATCGTCACTCTCACAAGAAATACCACCAGTGTCGATTTTCGGAAAGATCAACTCATGGAGAAAAATGTTAACTTTTTTATTTACTGCCCTTTATAATTTTTCACGGCAGTGTGTTATGTGTGATATAACCACAACGATGCCGAGATATGTCTAAAACTCTAGAGCGTAGGTGTCTGCGGTGGAGAACGAACGCGCTATTACCCTTTCCGGAGGCTAACGTGTTTACTACCATACCATGCGGGTCCTTCGTTTCTCCTCTCTCATCTAGTTTTTTACCTATCACTGTCATCAGCTCTGTCATTGCAATCACTCATTGTGGCTGTGTCACACACACTTCCCTGCTCTGAAGTAAAAGGTAGTGAATAAAAAAAGTTAACATTGTGATTTTTAACTAAAACCTCAAATTAACTAGGTTCGGTGCCGATTTGTGCTCTCCAGATCAATCCTGTTTACGGGTGACTACTGATGGCAAAAGATCGATAGAACTAGCTGAGAGACAGGCGAAATGAAGTACCCGCATGGTGGAGTAGTGAACGCGTTAGACGCCGGAAAGAGTTATAGCGCGTTCGTTCCCCACCGCAGGCACCTGCGGTCCAGAGTTTTGCAAATATCTCAGCATCATTGTGGTTGTATCACTTAAAGAAAAGGTTAGTAGGCCGAATACATCAGAAAAAAACCAAGATGATCAAATAAAAAAATTGTCTATTGAAGACAACACGAGGTGGACGCCTCAGTCATTGTGGATACAACGTCTTACGTCTCGCTCTTGATGAAACACCGGACCCGATGACCCGGAACCACTTCTAGAGTTTTGCGCAATGCCCACTGAGCGCTTAAGTGGTGTCTTCCGAAATATGGCCGATACACACAACATCTATTCTTTCTACGTAATATGTCTTCGAATGGTATCCCATATTCCAGATCATGCAAGGTATATCTTCTTGGCGAAAATAACAGTAGAGTAAAAAAGAATCGGTCGCGAGGAAATGACAAGAATACGAAAAAGACAAATCATTGACTAAGCGCTTATGAATGAACTATAGGTTCGATTCTACAATGCAGTGTGCAGGCGAATGAATGTATAATTGGCCTGTGCAATCACTAAATATCGACCGGTCAATGTTTTCTCCTCCCAAACAAGTCCGATACCAGTTTTCAATCCTGGACAAATGGGCTCACGGTTTGCCTTAGCACGTGATTTAACTAATGATCGTTTCAATAGCGGGGCCCTCAAAGAAATGTCTACGCCCCCGAATGGAAGAAAACCATTGGGAAATTTGGTGAAACCTGCATGTTTGGCTAAGAGGCCATAGAAAATTCTTAGTATAGCTGATGAATGCTCGCTAATTAATTGCTTTTTGCTGTAACCATTCACTGAGGCATTTTGATAGAATGTGGCAAAAAAAGTTTTCTGACATTACTTCAGTTGATTTCGGCAAATGAGCTTCTTCAATAAGTTCGTGCAAGCGATATGCCGCTCCGATTGCCGTTGGGCCACTTCCGATGATGATGAACCGTTTCGATCCACCTTGTGCCATCATACCATTGAAACTGCAATTGCTAATTAATAACTATCAAAAAGAATCTTTGAGAACACCAATTCTTGTAGAATGATGTAAAGGTTAGACTAAGCCAAAAAGGATGTATTGAACCTGCCACCAGGATAATGACATGAGCAAAATTAAAGATTTCAAGGATGCTGAAGTAATAAACTTGGAGTAAATACATACTTGCATCGTTGTGAATTTGAAGGTTGCGATTCCATTAGATCTGCTTCTAGTTACTTTTTTATAACTCTACACTTTTAATAATATCGAAGGAAAGAAATATGGAAATGTCAATTACAGCCTCAGCTTAACTGGGTTCATTGCCGAATTGGGCTACCCAGACAGCTGACGTGTAATTGCTGATCGCACTGATCGAAAACACTGACTGAGAGATAGTCAAAACGAGGGAATAACAATAATATTACCACATGCTATCATGACAGTAGTAGTGGGAATTGAGCCAATATAAGATTTGGCAAAAAGATAATGCATTAACACCGACTCCGAACTGAACAGTGTCACAAGGTCATCAACGCTGCCGCGCATAACTGATGGATGGCGTTCGATCGTAGGAAACCGATAAGCTACGAAGGGTCAGAGTAGTTTCGTCGTCCTTCCGTTTTGGACGATTCCAACATCTACTCCTGAGAACTGTTCTCCTTTCTTCTGCTTTTAGAGTCTACTCAGCGAAAAACTTTCCACTGCACGATGACAGATGAAAAAGGGTATTCGTATATTTACCCCGAATTTTCCTCTTTCTCTCATTCTGTTGAAAATCAGATAACAATGAAGAGCGTAAACTGCCATAACCTATAGAATCTTCCGAAAGCACTTGTGCTTCCGATTCATGCAACTTCTCGCGTAACGCTGTGAATTTATGGAAATGCGTGTGAATCACTCGAGAGGATCGTCAACCATCTACACCATTTAAATAATTACTCACTCTTACAAATACTTGCACCGACTTTTCCTTGGATCTTTTCGAAGTATGGAATACACTTATATCTATAACGTTCCGTAACAATGCATGGAATTAATGCTCTTCCTAAGTGTTCCAAATCAAAGTTTCGATGACCCACCCACATTTTTCTTTTTCCGTTCTTAAAACTGCCATGCCTTATCATCCTTTGCTCGTATGCGTATATCAATGGGATCGTTTGTTAGTGAGAAGTGATAAATTCAATAACACCATCTATCAGTAAGAAACAGGCTTGTGTGGCGCAGTGGTCGAATGCGCCCTGCAATACACAATTGGAATCGATCGCCGCTCCCATGGCTCACCAAGCCTTCCATCCCTGATCGGCAAATTGGTGCCAGACTTGTCTGGGAGGATAGCAGCACTGGTTCGATACATCGGTAAGCAACGGCGAGTCAGAAGGCCAGATATACATTTAATCTCCCCCAACGATGCTTAAGGAAATTGAATGAGTGATGTATCCTATAGGGTTTGATGAAGGTGGAGAGCCCTATCCTTTTATCCTTTGCCAGTGAAAAAAGACAAATGTTAACGTCATTTGGTGAAACAAGGTGCGCTTCATCTATTTACAAATAATTTTTAGCCATTATTTTAGCAGAAAAAAATTGATGATAAAGTACTAAAGCGATCACAGCAGGAGCTTGCTTACCAGTTAATGTTTCTTGGCTTATTCAGCTGATAACAAAAACTCAATGTCTACCAAGCACTCCATTAATATTGATAACAACCACTATAAAACTTCTTCAAGCTCAAACGGTCTGTGGCAAAATTCTCCAGGAATTTGAAGATTCATGGTCTCAGTAATCCAAGAGGTTACCACTACGCACTCGAAAAAATGTATTGTTGACAAAAATGCGTGAATGTAGCTGTAGTTTAAGTAGTTTGGTTATGTCTCTCCACGCGTACAATTAATATTAGTGGAGATATCTCCGAATTAATAGTGAACACCTAAGTTTCTTGAATAACCCAATATGCTGACCGAATATCCTAATATAACTGTTTTCCTTGACAAAAGCGCCCCACAATACACACGTAGTCTTTAGTCCGGCTGTGCTACCTTGGCTAAGCAAGCCCTAAATCCTTCCAGGGTTATCAGATCTGTAGCAGATTAGTCTGGAAGAATAAAAATGACCGCTTGACACATCAGTGAACTCCTGCAAGTCATTATATTGATCGGACATGCATTCAATCACCTCATTCTATTGGCAAAATACAAAAAGTGCGTTAAAATGTTTGATGTGTTAGCCTACTGGCCACAACGCCGAATTTTATGTCGGTTATGGACATGGTGATTTTGAAAACAGACGATGATTATTCGATGATCAGAGGACGCGAGGCGTGGGGGGCATAACAGGATTATAGAAGAGACTTTGTTCTTTCGTTCTATGGGTATGAGTTTTATGCATACTCTTATTTACTATATGTTACAACGATCTGCCATGAAAACACTTTGATCCAAGTATTCAGAAATATTTGGCGGCTTACATTAGACTAATTTCAGTAAGTCTTACATCCACATAATCCCTGCAATTACCATAATGTTTAAAATGGAAGAACATTGAATTGTTAGTTAAAGCGTTGGTCAGTGAGCTGGTCCGAAAAGGGTTTCTCAGTAAATCGTCAAGTATAGACAACTGCTTCTCTGATCGTATCTTTCCTACTTTGATCCGCCTTCTCTTATTCATTAAGGGAATATGTATACAATGGATTGAGTAGGCACACAAGTACGGAAGCTCACAGAATTGGAAATGGAAACTATAGTGTCTGTGATCTCGCGAATGGGTTAAAGCATCTCTACGATATATTTATCCTTTTATCAGAGTTCATACCCAAATAAATTTAAAACTGTAATTCAACCAAGGAAAACCGGATGCAATGGTCTTCGGTATTACAAAAAAAAATCGTGCTCACTTTGAAAATATCACTCTTTGTTACGAGATTGTGCTCACATTAAATTAGACAGAAGTTCGTTCTCTCTGCAAAGTCTATTCCAGTTCCTTTTTAATCTTGAACTAATAATGTTGCTAACAAAGAGCAATAACAATATTTCAAAATTCACTTTTCTTTAACCTAAGTATTACTAGTCAATATGTATTCTTTCTTTGATGAGCTAACGCGAGGTTGATAAACGCTATTATTCGGCTGATGTTTCGACGTCTTCGTCTTTATTAGAATTGACGATCCGAGTCGATAGTCCACCGTTCTTCATCGTCTCTATGTGCCGTCTTCACCTACGTATCGAGTTGTGTCTTTCTCTGCGGATCATCTCTCGAATGAGGTATACTCGCTCGGTGATGCCCTTTTATTGTTATTGCTCTTTCCTAGCTGACAATGATACCTACTTCTGGAGAATTGATTGTCCGGGGAAGGTTACCACCACCGGACTATCACAGCTATCCACCATCAGCAACCTCCATAAAAGGACATCGCCGAGTGAGTATGCCTCATTCGAGGAGATGGCCCGCTGACGATGACCTGACTCGACACGAAGGCGAAGCCGCCACATCGAGACGAACAACAAGCGTGGACCATCGACTCAGACCATCGGCTCTGACGAAGACGAAGACGTCGAAACGTTAGCCGAATAAAACTGTTTATCAACCACTTGTAAGTTCATCAAAGAAAGAATACACATTAACAGTTAATAACTCAAAAGACCGACTTTCTATAAACCTCTTCATAGATAGCTGATATATTTATTTATGTGATCATATAAACTGATTTTCTTAAGCTGACGTGAGGTTGGTACAGATCTTCGTTGTCGTTTTCGTATTACTAGTCAATATGTATTCTTTCTTTGATGAGCTAACACGAGGTTGATAAACGCTGTTATTCGGCTGATGTTTCGACGTCTTCGTCTTTATTAGAAAAAAGTAGAAAAAAGAAAAAAAAGCCAATGTGAATTGATACCAATTCACATGAGCTTTTTCGGATATTTTTTTTATTACTCAAAATGTGTCAAAGTTTTGAATTCATCAACGTGAAAATAGGTTCGGCAGTTGGCGCTACGAGGCTGCAAATCAGGACCACAGTTTCACGATGGGTGCACAGGTCGTCGATAAGATCGTGTTTGGTTCCAAGGAGAACGTTTAGTTGTGAAGAGTCCTAAAATTGTTGCATCTTTGTCCTTCTTCAGAATTTGCGTTAATTACCACGATGAAGAGATATTTGACAGTCAATGGTTATTGAATCGGTTTCACGTGTACCTATATGGTGGGACGGCTAGATTATATAGGAATACCAAGTAGTTAAGATGATTCGGTCGGAATTTGCTGCTCGCCTTTGTGTATGCCACGCGGGACTTCTTGCAAGTAGTAGTCACAATGCCGGAAACCTCAAACTTGGGTAATTAAACCATTTATCATAATTATACAACAATCATAACAATACAACTCTATAGTTAATGTAACAATGATACGGGTAATGAATAGACGCAGCCTGATCACTGGTGTTCAGGTTGCTTGTGAGTGAAGAGATTGGCATAACACTTTTACTACATGAGATGGATGTGACGCACGAATGCGGTGACTTGGGCAGCATTGCTGTGACATGAGCTAGCTAACCGTGGGGCCGTTTATATACCTTTGCGCTGGGCGGAGTCGGATTGCAGTAGGCGGACTTGGGCTACAGTAGGCAAAAAGACGGGTGCTGGAAACATTTCACAAGCCTTGCGATCTGATAGGGCGATATTCAAAGCCTAGGACCGTAAGTGCAGATATTTTACGAGATAGGCGCCAGCGAAATGTTAGACATACGGCTATCAGATCGTCATAGAGAAAAGGTCGTGGGAGAAGCATTTGAAATGTTTGGAAAGGTAATAATTGATTTACATAGAAAACATTCCAATATTCGTGAAGAATGTTCTCTATAACCTATCTGTAAAACTTTGCAAAACTTATATGCAAATTTATGTAGTCAGTTTGCTATCCAAGTTCGGAGATTCTTGAATGGTAGCGCATTTGAATAAAGATCAATGTTCAGTAACCACACAATTTTCTCTGCGCATAACATCGTCCTTATAAGGGTCAGGAACTGATCAGATGGAACAGCTGCAACACAAAGTCAATATAAGAAACTTTAAGGCTTATCCATGCTTACTCAATTGCTAGCTAATCGTAAGGACATCGTAATATGAGGGATACCACCAAAATCTCATTCTCTTCACTTAATTCTTTACAGAAACCTTTGCTGGAAAAGTTCATTTATCCGTTATTTGAGTTAAAAACAAGCTATCATTTCATT